CCGACCCTTTTTGTCACAGTAAAAGACAAGCAAAAGTACAAAATAGACGTGACTCAGTGTACTCTACAACGGACCAGTGATTTATTTGAGCCGGAATTGAGTGGCAAACAACAATCTTTGCCTCAGTTATTATTGAGGCAAAAATCAAAACCATATGACAATCAATTTTTACAGATCAACTCTGGCAAAGACGCCTTTGTGTTTTTCATCCCCGACAAGACACAATTCATCAACTTCTTGACGTTATTAGGACTGAACATGAAAATTGTAGGGACCTACGGGTACCCTCTCAGAGTCTCTGTATTAAAAAGCGCGTGGCGTTTTCCAAACCCTATTTTTAGGTCTATCCAGTATCTGAGGTACAACCGATCATATGAAAATAAAGGCCTTTTTAGACTCAGCGGCGAGCAAGTTGAGAACAAACGCGTGAAAAGTGTCTTTGACTCGGACACGACGGCGGAGAGTGTGGAATTTAAAGATATGAATATCGCGGGGTGTGTGTTGAAGGACTATCTCAGGTCACTCGATGAACGAATTTTCCCAATGAGATTCAACCAAAGACTTTTGGACGCTGCAAAAGACGAGAAAACGGTGTTTGTTGATAAAGTGAAGACAATTGTGAGCGAAATTCCTTCGATCAATCAAAGTTGCTTGTGGTACATCTTCGACTTCTTGAATTTGGTTTTGAAGTATAAAGAACTTAATTTGATGAATGAAGAGAATCTGGCTATCGTGTTTGTACCAAACATGTTTGATTTTGATATGTCAAATATGTTCATGAACAACTCCGAGTTGACTTTGTATAAAACAATCTTCATAAAAATCTTGGACAATTACGAAGAGATATTTGAAAACGTTAAAAAAGAAAACGAAAGAATTTAGACAAGTCGATTTTTTAAGTTGGTTGAGTTTTATTAATATTTAATTATTTCTGATAAATTTACAAAATCTATTAAATAATTCTTAGAACTTATATATTTTTAAAAAACAGATATTTTTTGATTTGTTTTTCAACTTAAGTGATATTCACCGCTTAAGTTTTTTATAATAAAAAAGCGACAAGACATTATTATTAAATTAATTATGTTTGAAACAGTATCCAATTTAAAATTTATTTGTAAATGAATATTTTTTTATTTATAGTTTAATCGAAATTTAACTATTAAATTAAACTTGAAAAGTCATGGATGTGGAACCTAGAACTTATACTTTTAAGTTTATTTTAATAGGAGAAGCACGTACTGGAAAATCGAGTATAATGAACAAATACTGTAACGATCAATTTAATGGAAAATATATTGTATCCACGTCTTCTGAATTTTGTGAAAAGGAAGTTTGTTTTATTTATAAATAATAACAGTATTAAATTAATTATAATAAATACTAGTTTGTCGTTTTAAAAATAACAAAAAAGATTAATATTAACAATGACAATGCTATAATAGAACTCTGGGCTTCGGGTTTGTTAATTATAATAAATTTTGAGAATAAATTCTAAACATAAAAATATTAAAAATTTCATCAAATTGTAGAAACTTATAAACTTACAATAAGTTGGTGATGTTAGATACAACGATTTATGTTCTTCATACTACAAAGGAAGTGATTGTTGTTTATTGGTGTGTGATATAACAAACAAAAGAAGCTTTGAAACACTTGAAATGTTAATGGATCAATTCGTAACAGAAGCTCAAATCAATGCAACTGAGTTTCCTTTTGCGGTTGTAGTAAATAAAGTCGACGAGGAAATATCGGATTATTGTGTTGAAATGGCGGAAGTTGAAAAGTTTTGTAAAAATAAGAAAATTCAAATGGTTTATCAAGTTTCCGCCAAAACTGGATTCAACCTGAACAAATTGTTTTTGGATATGGCAACTAAATTAATCGAAAATTGTGTTAGCAATGAATAAGACTATCTTTAAATTAATTGATGTAATTTTTGAAACGTTTTTTTATAATTCAAATATATATTTTAAACGGGACCTACATTGACCACCACCACCTTTACCAAAAAAAAATATTTGCCGCGAGTGTTTTTTGAAGGAAGTCCACTTTTCAGCCACTGTTTGTGCGTCCCCATGTCACCCACTTTCCTTGTCCGTACTGTGTGGACGCGGATGTGGTTCCCCCCGCTTGCGGGGGGGTCAGGGGGATCCGCGCCAAGGGAGGACTTGGAAAGTGGGTGAAACGGTGCACAAACAGACTGTTTGAGTGTGTCTTCAGAGCCTACTTTTCAATGCTCCGTCTCACTCGGTTTCCACTAAATCGAGGTGAATTTTCGGCATTTTTTGAATTCGGGAACCAGACCTAATATTATCCCATTTTCCTATTTACTATAATTTTAATTTGAATATGATTCGAAATAGAAAAAATAAATCTATTTTAAGAGGTGGTGGTGGTCAATGTAGGTCCCATTTTAAACACTTTTGTTTTTAAATTATCATTTTGTTGTGTATGTAAAAACAATTCATTTAATTACTGTCAAATGCATTTGTTTGTGGACGATAAAACAAAAATGTTTCTATTTCTAGCATATGAAAAAAAATGTGGAAAAAGTGTTTTAATATTTATTTTTTAATTAGAAATAAGTTTTTATTTCAATTTAAACATTAGAATACAAAATATTTAATTGTTGCACATTACAATAATTGGTAATTTGAGCAACAAAAAGGATTGCGGCAATTCGATGTATTTGATTGTATATAATTGTTAAAAATTCAAAAATGTACACATGTTCAAAATTATTAATAACATTAAACAAACAATAAATATATTTTTCATTCAAAAATACTGCAAATAATTTTAACACAATTTGTGAATATTTTATTGTAGTTTAAAATAAACTATTTTTATTAATAAAATGAAGTAAAACGCAATTATTTGAATTCTTTTGTGAAAATGTTACACCCATTAAAGCACTGTGATTCGTTTTGTGGTTCTATCCCGTGAATTATTACTTTGGTTAAATTTGAGCAGTCTTCAAAGCATCGATTTCTCAACAATCTCACCTTTGAAAGTATTTCTATTTCACTAAGTCTACTACATGCAGCAAACGCTTCTTCTCCAATCCACTCAATATTTGAAGACATTTCCACTTTAACAAGATTTGAGCATTTAGCAAAACATTTATTTGATATATAACTCACGCCGTTTGGTATAACAATTCCAGTGATAGCTTTACACTCACAAAATGCACAGTTATCAAGAAAAGAGACACTAGATGGTATTTTGATTTCGAACAACCTTTCACAGCCCATGAAACAAGACTCACTTATTTTCCAAATGGAGTTTGGTAGAACGACTTTTGTGAGTGAACTGCAGTTGTAAAATGTATTTTTTCTGAGTAAAGAGACTAACGGAGAGACAACCATTTCTTCAATTTGCTTGCAATATGCAAAGGCGTTCATCCCAATTGAATCAACTTCGGGTGACATATCCAACTCTTTCAAAACACTACAGCCATAAAAACACTCACTTTTAATACATTTGAGTCGGTTTGGAAGTGTCACATAACGAAGAGATGAGCAGTTCTCAAATGTTGATCTTTCCAATGATGTTATTAAATTGGGCAAATCAATTGATGTTAAAGAAATACATCCTTTGAAGCAATCATTATCTAAAGCTGTTACAGTTCTTGGAATTTGTATCGAAGAGAGTTCGGACGACTTTGTGAACTTCGCCAATTTTGTGATGTTTTGGTTCTGAGGAATCAATTTGAAATTTTCTTCTTTTTCATAGAAAACATTTTTGTAAACAACTTCGGCTGTTTTAAGATTGGTTTTGTTTGGTGGACATAGTTTATTATAAGTCACTTGGTACCACACAATAATTTTAAAGAAATTGACTTTTTTCGTTTTCTGTTGAAGGCTTTTATTTAGCAGAATTTGATTACCAAAGCATTCATCATCAACAGACCATATATTGAGTGTCTCAATGTTTGGGAAATATTTAAGTGTTACAGTAGTAAGCGGGATTGGATTAAAGTGAAACTTACTTAAAGTATCTTTAAATTTGCTATTCACTTTAGTAAGAACTTTAAAGTCTGTGATTGAATAAAAGTATTTCGAAACAATCATAATATGGAAGCCATCAAGTTGGATCATTTTGGATGTTTTTATTAAATTTTTAAATTCGTCTTTAATGTTTTTCATAAGTAAAAAACAATGATTTTAACTCAAATTAAATTGTTTACAGTTTTATTATAATTAATCATTTATTATTATAAAGATAGAGTTGGTGGAAAAAATAATTTTTTAAAGATGTACTATATTTATTTATATCATTACTTTCAATTAATAGTTTCATTAACTAATCGCTAATTTGTTTGCATTTTGTTATAATAAATTATAATAAATTTTACTATAAGTATTAATTAATTTGATTTATTATAATGTGACTTATTTTTTATTTTTAAAAGTATTAT